ATTACTATGAAACCTTTAGTCCAGTGATAAAAGCTTCCACCCTAAGGATAATTCTAGCACTTGTAGTCTCAGAAGGGTGGAGAATCAGGAAACTAGACATTTATAATGCATTCTTGAATGGAAAACTAGATGAAAAAGTCTACATGAGCTAGCCGGAAGGTTTCATTGACAAGAAAAATCCTACCTTCATGTGTAAACTTGAGAAGGCACTATATGGACTCAAGCAAGTATCTAGAGCTTGGTATGAAAAGTTGAAAAAGACCTTTCTTGATTGGAAGTTTACAAAATCCAAAGCAGACACTTCGTTATTCTTCTACATGAATAAAAAGCAAGTAATTTTTGCCTTGGTATATGTTGATGACATAGTTATAACCGGAAATGATCACATGTTACTGCAGCAGTTTATTGACAACCTAAACACCCAGATTACATTAAAAGATATGGACGAATTACATTAGTTTCTGGGAATTGAAGTGAGAAGATATGAGTCAGGTATGCAACTTACCTAAAAGAAGTACATGGAAGAACTACTGAAAAGATTTAACTTCGAAAAATCTGAATCCATGTGCAACACCAATGATGATAGGTAGATATATCTCCAAAAGTGAAGGAGAAAAGATGACAAATCCATCCTTGTTCAGAAGTACAATAGGCGGCCTGCAATACCTAGCTCATAAACGACCAGACATTACCTTTGCAGTGAACAAAGTGAGTCAGTTTCTGTATGCACCTTTAGACATACATTGGAGGGCAGTTAAAAAGATTTTCATATACTTAAAAGGTACAATTGAACAGGGCTTATGGATTCAAAGAAGTGATAGAATGGAAATTACTGGCTTTGCTAATGCTGACTGGACCTCATGCCCTGACTATAGGAGGTCCACAGCAAGTTATTGTGTCTACTTGGGCAATACACTGGTGGCCTGGTCATCAAAGAAGTAGCAAGTCGTAGCCAAGTCTAGTACTGAATCAGAGTACAAAGCCTTGGCCCAAACAACAACAGAGATCACGTGGATTGAGTCGCTACTTAAGGAAATCAAGCTGCATCATGTTTCGCCTCCCATATTGTGGTATGACAACCTTAGTGCCAGTACCCTTGCATCAAATCTAGTTTATCATGTACGGACTAAACACATTGAGCTTGATATACACTTTGTCAAAGATATAGTCCTCGAAGGAAAACTGGAAATTCGATATGTTCCCTCATCAGATCAAACTGCTGATATATTAACCAAATCGCTTGGACAAACCAGATTTCAATTTCTCAAGGACAAACTCGGAGTAAAGGAATAGACTCTAACTTGAGTGGGGGTGTTAAAGTATGCACCTATGCCCTCTAATGTGTGCCTCTAATGTGAGCTGAACGCTGGCATGGAATCCATAAGGCTGAGTTAAATTTATCTTTGGGACTACAATGATTGTTGCAATTGAATTGATTCTCTCACATGTATTGTTGCTATTTACTTGCTCACTACTCCAATATTGTATATAAATATTGCTTATTCAATCTTTTGTATATATCTCATTTTCAATATAAGAAATTAGTTCTTTGAGGAATATTTTTCTCCTTATTCTCAATTCTATCTTTTGCACTAATTTTAACTAATTATTTCTTTATACTAATGTTTTCAATGTTGAAAATAATTACTAAATTATTATTCTTTCATACTTGTAACTTCAAGTGGATTGGCTTCAATGTATAGGTTTGTTTTAAATTAATATGTAAGATGTATTTCTTCATGTCATTAGTTTTTGCAGATGAATTTTGAATTTATTTCGGCTGAAAACGATCAATTGCACTCATATATGTCGCAAAGCAGCAACATTGTAGTCCCAGTTCGATGTATGAAAAGATTCAAGAAAAAGTAAAGATTGTGCATCTATTTATGTTGTGTTAGTGGGCTAAAGCAATTTGATGAGGCTGTAATTTATGTTAGCATGGAGAGTGCAAATGTTGATGTTTATGACTCATTTTTTTTTGGATGTCAATGTGCGTGGAGGACCTTTTGTGTGCTGAAATGGCGTATAGGGGTTAGGATTTGGACCTTATATGGTTGGTTTGTATAGAATGTCAACGGTTTATGTACTGTCAATGTGCGTGGAGGACCTTTTGTGTGCTGAAATGGCGTTTAGGGGTTAGGATTTGGACCTTATTTGTGTGGTTTGTATAGAATGTCAACGGTGTATGTACAATTATGCGATATCATGTGACATACATTAATTTTGTAGTTTAGTATTCAATTATTGTTGGTGCTAATGTCTTGTAGGTGAATTGGTTCAATGATGTTTATTCGATTGTGCAAAACAAATCAAATTTGAAAATGTGTAAATCGAATATCAAGTTTTATGTTAGCAACTTGTTCGGTTCTCCCCTCAATTGTTTAGTGCATCATCGATTCTATGTGATTTTTTGCATCAGTTTGAAATACTATATATCCTAATTTAAACTTGAAAACCAACATACTTTTGTATGTGACATTGTCAAGATCAAATGTGGTGCTATGTAAAGGTTTATGAAATGTTTGGGTGATATATAATATTAATTGTAAATTGGTACTACTTCATATCTAATTGTAATCCATGAACACAACAAATTTAAGAGTTCAACTTTCAATGTTTGGGTGATACATACACACTAATTGTAAACATGTACTACTTCACATCTAATTGTAATACATGAGTACAACAAATTTAAGAGTTCAACTTTCAATTCGATTGCTATGCATGGATGATGAATACAAAGCTTCTCCATCATTTGTAATACAAGTTATGGTACGATGATATTACTTGGAATTAAGCCCCTATTTGTCTACCATTATTCCAAAAAAATTGTTTGCTACAGTAAGATTCTCTATCACACATTCACCCAATAAAATATTTTACATACAAACCAATAAAGTTACTTTAAATTTCAACTATACATTCTCCGAAAAATACTATTCATTACTCTATTTTTCTCCCAATAATGGGAGAAAAACACACCCTATGAGTGAAGTGGTTTTGTTCCTGCACCATTTCTACTCATCATCTATGTGCACGAAATCTCCCTTGTGCGACACAATTAATCTCATATTATTGCACCTGCAAAATATGAGATAGCATGATAAGCATTAGACTCAATTATAATATTGGAATTTATTAACATGCAATTGGCACCTATGAATAAATTATAACAAACAATATCAAATAGGTGAATACGACAGACGAAATGTCGAGCCTGACATTTACTAAATGTTGTGTCAAATTCGACACAGAATGTAATCGATAGTTTAACTGTTGCGTTTAAAAACACATTTTTCATAGCATTAATTGTGTTCATCAATACTCTATTATCAAATGACAAAATCTGCACAAATCATTGAATTTGCTTTATTAATATGAAATGTTCCTATTGGAGAATTATCTTCGTTAAAAAACGTATGTAAATCCAAACCTAATGAACGTATAAAAATTTACGAAATTAAAAATCAAGTTGAGCATGCTGTATTTAACAATTAAAAAAATACTAAGTTAAAAGATAAAGAAATTTATACATTGTAAATATTAACATCTCAAAATGAAAGATGAATTTAAAACTACTTTCGTTTTAATATGAGAATGGAGGAGAGGAGACAAAGTCGGAATTTTTTGAGAGAAAAAAAATATTGTTTTCACACTCAACTAAAGTAATAAATGATTTATTGTTTTGTTAACAAACTTTACTTATTATATAATACATATATTACGCTAATAAAGTGATCACATCATTGCATTAAATGATGTGCATTTAATGCTTCCAAAATAGGTATATACCAAGGTGATTCAGACTTTTCATACCAAAAAAGTAATATTTTAAGCAACATTTATAAAAGTGACAAATTTTTGTGCATTTTTAAATTTTGTGATATTTATGAAAATATATATATTTTTAATGACTGCTCCATGCGACTGTGTTTTAGGTTGAATTTTGAAATTTGACGGGAGACTTAAAATGTGATTGACACACCCTTTTACACTATTTTATTGAAAAAGTTTAGAAATAAGGTCCTTCACACCCCCTAAATCATTTATTCTATTAAGAGCATCTGTTTATTTTTAAAGAAAATTCGATCATAACAGAGAACATATTTTAAATTCAAAGAATATAATTTTATATACACTCCAATGATATAAATAATAAAAAATTAACATCCTTAATTTCCACAAAGATTATTTTATAATTAACATGCATAGGATGATTATTTGGACGACCGATTTGCTCGATTACAAATTTCACGAGTTGCATTTGATTAATAACAAATTAGGAGTAGAAGGATGATCCCTTAAAGATCAGATAAAATTCCATGATTTTTTTATTACATTACATTATATTCTAATTATAATTTATTTTATCTCTGTTTTATTATCCATTTATTAATATTTATTTTACCCCGTGTCATTATCCTATTATTAATATTTTTTTTTCTTCAGGATCCATTCTTCTTTTACAAGCAAGAAATTTAGTATTTTTTTTCATGATAATATCTTTTGAATTGTTGAACTAGATAGTGACTCGATAGTGCAACGAATAAGAACGAAGCTGTAGTGCCAAGGAGGGTGACACCCTCCCTGACAGGACACACACATTGGGGGGGGGGGGGGGGGGGGGCTTTT